CGCGAACGAGCAACAGACGGATAATCGAGTGTCCGAGCAATTTGAGGAAAAAACCGGATATCCGGCTAATGCCCGAAGGACTCGCGCGCTCGCGTATCGATTCTCGTTGGGATAAATGCGCGATGACACGGTTTAATTTGATCGCGCAGTATTTTATCATTCCGTGAGTTTTCGCCGGTAAAAATTCCACCGTGGCGCGTCGATGGCGCGGAACACGCGCGCGCATAATTCGCTGGCCCAACAAAATGTCAAAGATTCCCCACGCGAGCGAAACGGCACTGCACGGAATAAATCGCGGAATAAAAAGAGCGATTCTCTCGTTGTAACGCGCTCAGAGATTTTTCACCGCATCTCTCGTGGATTTCGCGCGAGCGGAGAGGCAGACTCGCACGCACGCACGTATGCACACATACGCACACACACACACACACACACACACACACACACACACACACAAAGAGAGCGGTGCGTTTTATATGGCGTTAAAGATTTCATATCCCGAGCGTCCTCTTTTTCCTGCGGTCGGCTCGCACTCGAACCCGCTCTCGCCCGAGCGCGTTGCTCTTTCGTCGCTACGAGTTTGCATGCGATGCATTTATGTGTGTACCGTATATATCGCGCAACCCATCGAAATCGAATTAACGTCCCTTTACTCTCGCGTAAGGATACTCCAGACTGGCGGAACCAATTGAAATTGTTACAGCGAGACTCAAAGGCTCGTCGGGCCGTCGAGTAGGACCCGCGCGAGCGACGCCGCGACGTCCTCTGCGCGATCATCAGGACGGAAACGACGTTTCGCTAATATACTCGCTAACTTTCGGCAAATTCAATTGCCGATATCACGAGCCCACTCGGCTCGGTTGGAGCCGACGTTGGATCTCCGCGCGTAAAAATGTGCGCTTTACGCTCGGCGAACGAGCCGTGCGCCTCGCGGGACATTATGATCGCTTTTGCGTCCGACCGCGGCGGCAAGAGGAGAAACGCGAGGATTCCCGCCACTTTGAGACGGAACGCGCGGCAGATCCGGCTGAATCGTCAAATTGAAAAGGCAAAATGGCCGTCCGACTCGCGCCCACAGCGCGCTGATCGTTTCGTGCTCTCATCAACGGCGCGGAAACAGAAATGATTTCACCCGCCGGGCATTATCTCCCGTCGGGATTCCGAACGATAACGTGAAATTTCATAAATGGCACCTCCCGACCTTACACCTGGAGGACCGATTTTCGTACATAACTCTTCGTCGAGCAAAGAGATCGGCGAGCGCGGTTTTCGCAATTGGATTCCGAGTCGTTTCTCCGAGATCGATCGCCTCGTCGGCACGGAATTTCGAGTGCTTCTCCCGCTCAGCTGAGATAAATGGCGTTCGAACGCGCGCTCGCGCTCGCGCGTGCGATTACCGATTCTCGGATTTAGCTCTCGGCGTCGGTGATCGACGACGCGCATCGTCGATCGGCGACGTCGCCGATGTAAGATTCTCGTGCAGGCCGAAAGAACGGAGCGCGAGCGGCGCGCGCCGCGGTTATCTCCGGTTGTTTACGCGGCTGCGCGCAGTCAAGGCGAGCAATTACCCGACTAGAAATTTATCCCATGGTCCTAATCAGGTTAACCTTATTTGAACATCAGGTTCCAATAAGGTAATACTATATCGGGTAATACTATATCGGGTCATAGCAAATCATGTAACGCAGTGCGGATATCAGGAATATCTTGGTAAGTTTCGTAGTCAGGTCCTTATTGAGTTACCTTATGGAATCCTTATTACGTTCTTTTTTTTTTTCAAATTATGGTTCCTGATTACTCGCCACGGCTATATTGGATGATGACATTAGAAATAAGAAGTGGCACGCTGACAATTCTTTCATGTCATTTCCAAATAAAAAGATGCATGAATAATATTTCAGATCGCTTGAGTATACTTGTGAAATGTTTCGGAAAGGAAACATAAAATGAGTATCATAAGATCATAAAGTATCACAAGGTGACAAGACGTAAGGTAGTGTTAAAGAGAAAAGTTGCATGTCACATTAATTTGACAACTATTTGTTGACTGCTAAAAAAGGAACAGTTTCTATAGCATTCTACAAATATATTCAAGTGAAGATCTGAAGTGTTTTTTCAATGTAAACATCTTTATATTTGGAAATGGCACCCAAAAATTGTTTTGTTAAAACTTGATGACGCAAATCATATTAGGTACAATGAATAAGATCCCGACAAGGACCTGATCAACTGAACCATATTATATCATACACTGGGTTGGTACATTAAGGTCCTAATGTGGACCCAATCATTATAACCTTGCAAGGGCTTCCTTACTCACTCGTCGTTAGGACATTATAAGGACTGACTTACTTAGGATTACCCTTTCATTCATCCTATTGGGTCCTTATCAATGTTAGGTGAACCTGATGAAAATTTCTAGTCGGGTACACTCGGGTGCAAAGTTCAAGCCCGGCCCGGCTCGAATTCGCGTCGCGAGCGAGACGTCACCGTAACGTAAGTGCCGGGCAAAAGTAATCAGGTGGTTGCCTCTGCGGTTCGCGTCCGCTCGCTCGCGGCGAATTTTCCGCTTGGCGCGCGTGCATTTTTGTCTTCCACTTTCTTCCCTTTTCTCCTCCCCGTTCGGCAACCGTTTTAGCGTTTATTAACTTTTCCGTGGCGCGCGCGCACGCGCGCGCGTGTGTTTAACGTTATCCGATACGCCCAAGCCCAATTTTTTAGCGGATAATGAACCCGTTGTCTCGCGCGACCGTCGGATATTTAAATTTGTTGGCTAATTACGCGGACCTTGTTTTTCGGCCGGTTATCAGCCCGTGATTCCGGTCGGCGCAAATTGCATTGTTGCTCCGCGGGCTTGAATCAGCCAATTTCCGCATACGCGAGAGTATCTCTTTACGCAGCTATTTTATAACCGCAGTGTGTGTGCGCGCGCGCGCGTGGTAAATGAAGACTCGCTCGAGCAAAGCGCAACGGAGAAAGAGCAGCTGAAACGCCAGCGATTCATTTCGCGGACCGCGATCGAGGGGGTAGAACAGAGCAAAGGGAGAAAGAGACAGAGAGATGGAAACCGCTGACTAATAAATACGAACGATGTTCAAACCGGCGGCGCTTGCAGCAAAGCGTATATGAGACATGACGTTATCGTGCGCACGCAGTGCGCACCAAGTGTGGCCGATTCTCTTACCGTTGGTATAATTAAAGGACGAAATATCGGATCGGTCAACAAACCACGGTATCGCGCGCGCTTGACGACTCATTCGTTTCCATTGAACGCAACGGCAGGAAATTTTCATTGAAACAAGCCGCGGCCGAACTTTTCAACCCACTCGCGCGTGGCGTGGATAAAATTTTTTTTAATTTTTTATTTTTATTAAATAATATCACTCACACACACACACACACACACACACACGCTACATCGCGTGTAATTGAGACGTATTCATAACAAGGTACAAATTTATATATCGCAATAATTTGCTCGCGGATATTTCTCGTGCCTTCCAACGCGAAATTTATATCATACGTAAAATAGTTTACCATACTTGAAATGTTTCGAGCAATATGAAAATATCCCGGCCGAACAAGTATGCCTTCATCGCATGCGGGCGGATGTGAATATAAAAAATTCCCCGGACAAATTGTCCGCGCGCGCGTGTATATAGCCGTTGCTGTCGCACGGGTAATTTAAGGCCGACCTCGCGAGGACGCGTCTTTATGTTCCCCCAGGAGATCAATGTAGCGCGTTGCTCGGCCCCTTCGTGTACGTAACACTTAGCTTCCTTCCTCGTGCCGAGAGCGAGGGAAGAGCTGGAGGGGATGTGCTACCTCAGCGAGGAGCGGCGTTTTCCTTTAAGTACGACCCGGAGACTTACGAGGGATACGTTGTTTGAGGGAGCGATTGCATGGGCGCCCGTTATTTGAACGCGTTCGAATGAAATTCCGATCGCCCGCCGTCTTTGTCCCGCAGCGATGGAACCCGCTCGGCGCCGGCTTTTCGGAATTTATCGGGATAATCGCATTCGATCGTGCGCCGAGCGATGATCGGCAAGACAAAAGGAAAACAAGGGAAAAGTCGCGCCGGCCGGTATCCCCGACGAAGAGTCGGTCTGTGAGCCGCGTTCACTCGGTGTAGGTCCGCGCGCACCACCAAGTGCTCGTTCGCGCGGAATTCGGCGAACTTTAGCCGAGTCCGAATGGCGGCACGGTCGCAGGAGAGTACACGAGCAAAACTGCAGGATACTGCGTTTAATGTCGGGTTTAATGCGCTCGGAAAATAAATTAATTTACGCAAACTATTCTCGAACCAGCAATAAGCTGCAATTGCAATTGCAAATGCACGACGAAACGTCAAATCGGGAAACAAGAGCGAGAGAGCGAGAGAGCGAGAGAGAGAGAGAGAGAGAGAGAGCTCTCGCTGATGTTTTTTCGCGTATAACGGAACGAAGAAATACGATTACGCCTCTCGTAATTCGCGGAGATCCTCTCGATTCTCTCTCGCGCTCGATGCAAGCCTCGATCAATTCTTCGCTACTGTGTTTTCGAAAGAGCAGCAATCGAAACGTCCGTTAGCTCGAATCGCGTCCTCGCGCGCCCAGCTAATTATCCGGTTTATCGCTACAGTTCAACAGTTGGGTCCCGATTCGTGAATATTTCATCAAACACCCAGTCTGGCGCGAGAAACGGGATGTAATAGCCGCTTAAAAATAATCCGCTTATACTATTATCGCCTCCAAGTCGCTAATCGCACGCGTCGGTGAACGCTACGAAATTTCAAGTCGAAGAATTCCGACGTGTAGGCGTGCGACTTGCAGAGTTGCAATCCGCGACGGTAGGTCGACTGCCGGCGGGACATCGAGAGGACACGCGTAGAAAAGCCTGTCTCTCCGCCTTCAGCGGATTTGCCTCGTGTTTGAAGACATATCCCAAGGATCAAAGGTCCTTGTACAAATTTCAAGTGGCCCGGCTCTACGTGATCAGCCATTACGGCCCGTTGTACTTACAGTGCACCGTGAGCTTCCATCGGTCCTCGATACCGGCGTCCGGCAGCTTCGGATTCTCCGCACGGCACACCAGGAACTTCCCCTCGTCCTCCATCATCGGCGTGAATAGCAGCAGACTCGAGCCGTCCTGCAATTGCGAACGACGATCATTCCGTCTTCGCCGCTACTCCCGTATGCTGTGGATTCGCGCGAATCCACCATCTCCCCCCCCTCCCCTCCCCGCGGACCCCGTCCCTCCCCGCAGATCCCGCGGGTGCTCATTTCGCGCGACGCGGCTTTTATCACCGGCGGGATCGCGCTTTTATAACCGCGCGACCGAGGAATCTTTTCATATATAACGTATTCTTTGACTGTTATTAACTGTTATTAAGCGCCATTAAAATAGCCGCAAGGGCTGCCGCTCGGGCGCTCGGGCAATTATGTCCCGCGAATTTGCGCGGAACGCATTAACCCTTAAACGCCGGGACGAGTGAAAATTCATTCGATGATATTTTTCACTAGATAAAAGTAAATTTAATTACACGAGCCAGAGTTGTATGTATATTTCTTTGTATTTTTAAGGAAAGGATTTATAATGTTCATCAATATCTTAGGCCATTTATGCTCGAACAAAAGAGATTCTTTTTCTTCTTTACGGTGAAAGGTTATTATTTTTCCTTTAAAAGAGTGTAAGATGATTGAAAACTGTTTTACACATTGTCGCAATTTTCTACCAAATGTTTATAGTTTATGTAGTAAAAAAATAATGAAAAGAATTATGAGTAAAAATTCACCCATCCTAATGATAGGACGGTAACAAAAACTTCTTGGTGTTGAGGGGCCGACACGCACACGGCGGCTGCATGATGAAATCGACGACGTTACGATCGCGAGTCGCGGCGGAATTTATTATCGCGCCGGAAACATTTTTGGGAAACTCTGCGCCGTTTTTCGCGCGTTGCCGTCGCGCTATCGCGAGGATTATAATCGGGCCGGATCGTGCAGCGCAAGAAGTGGGAGATAAATGATTTCGTAACACCTCCTCCCCCTGCAGCGTAGTCGCGCGATTCTTCCCGTGCGTGTGCGTGCGTGCGTGTGTGCTTTTTTCGTCCCACCCGCGTGCACCCCCCCCTCCTCCCCCTCCGCGAAGAGTAGAGAATTGCGGTCGTGTCGCATTTTTGTTTTATCGTTTCGCATAACCAGCAGCCCGCGTCGTTTACGAGATTTTAAACACGGCGCCGAACGGCCGGCAAAGCGTGCGTTTTTATCGTGACAACGAGAGCATACATTTTTCAAGCGGGAACAATGGACGCGTGAAATGTTAAAATAAATATGTGCATTTTCGTTTCTGAAAGTGTGACCGTATTTCCTCCCGCGTACAGTTGCGTGCGCGCGCGCGCGCGTGCGCGTTCCTGAAATACCGGACAAATTACGAGAGATAACGCGCTGTTTTATTATTATTTCTTTTTCCTCGAGCTTTTTCACTTACAGGCAATATCCGCATGTCTCGCGTGGGGTCACCCCCGCGCGTTGGTTCAGTAGCGTTTGTTTGCTTTCGTCGCTCGCGAATTTAGCGCAGTTCCGGACGGTTTCCCCCGTCGTTTACTCCCGACCCTCGTGGGAGTGCCATCGAAAATTGACGAGATCGGCCGGTGAGACTCTTGGCCGGCTGGAATAAAGCGCCGAAAGACGAGAGAAGATTCGCCGAGCGCGATCCGCGACGGTAACGACGCGCGGTAATTTCCAGCGCGGCAAATTGATGGAATGCAAATTGCGAAAACGCAGCCGCGAAAACTCGCCGACTGCCGAGGTGGGCCCGGGATTCATTTCGTCCCGAAAAAAATCTCCATGACAATCGACGTCGCGCCGCAGGGGAGCTCGCTCGCGCGTAATTCTTTCTTATTTCGCATGGATCTCGCACTGGCCCCCCCCCCCGGCTGCCGAGATCAGGGCGAAAATACGCGCGGTCCCTTTTCGAGCAAAATCGACCGCGTCATCGGGATCGACGACAGCTCGATTCACCGCTTCGATTCGCCACCGAAATTGAGATTCTCGCTGTCGCCGCGGCAGCAGAAACGCGCGAGCCTATTTCAGAGCGACTCGGCTTCTCCATTCACGCGTCGTTGCAACGACTAGCTCTCTCTCTCTCTCTCTCAACGGCGACAAAAACCGGTCCGGTTTGTAATTCACATTGAAAATCGCCACCGTCGCGGCACTGCGTGTTCCGCGCGTCGCGAAACATCCCGGTAAACACCGGCGCGCTGAAACGGACGTCCGACTAATCTCCGTGTCATCGCGACGGAAGGACGGAAGCGCTCGGAACGACAACCCGCGCGCGGATCTCTTTAAAAAAATCGTCGCATCTCAATTTCAAATACCGTATCGACGTGCGCCGGAAACGCAATGGCCGGAGCGAACAAAAACGAGGCGCACGTCGCCGCATCAGCGAGAAAGCGCGCGCGCGCGCGCCCTCGAAAACGAGTTTCTCCGTGGAATTTATGGCGGCGGTGCCGAAATTTCGTTGCCGTTACTCATGCAGATTCGCGAACGGAAAATATGCGCGAATGTGCCGTACGTGTACGAGTGTGCATGTGTGTGCGCGTGCGTGCGCGCGCGTAACGCATCCACCTCTTTCCCGTAGCAGCAAACATCAAGTAAAATCCTCTCGCTATTTTCCCTCCTTGAGCGCGCTCTTTCCTTCTATTTCTCCTCCGCAACCGCCGCTGCTCTTTCCGTTATATATCGATGCCGCTTTTCCGCTCTCCTTCTCTTTCTCTCTTTTCTTCTCGCGCGTGAATTGGTCGAAAACAATGGCGGAAGAGCGAGGAGAGCGGTGAGGGCGGTTCGGGGCGAAATTAAAATGAAATCCCCACGATGGAGGCGCGTGGGAAATCCTTCGCGTATGTGTGTGTGTGTGTGTACGGCGGTCACGTCTGCCGGAATTCGAAAAACTTCGGCCGAATTTACCGGCGGAAATTCCAGCGTCGTCTTAGCCGGCTGTGTGGAATTTTCGAAATTTCCGGGCCGGATAACTCGCCCGCGCTCGTCTCGCGCATTCTGGTCGCAACAAGGTTGCGTGTTTAATTATGCGAATTACAAGTCGCTGCAGCTGCTGACGCTTGTGAAATGATGCACGCGAAAAACGTGAGACGGTCAAAATTCAAATTATATTAATAATTGTATTAATTGCTAACAATCGCGTAGCGTGAGACTTGAGTCTCGATGGGATCAACGGGCTCTATTTGCGGCATATAATTGCACAGGTGAGGCGCAATTTGCATGCCGCATTCCACCCCTTTGTGTTGCGCTGCTCTGTTGCGTTCTCTCTCTCTCTCTCTCTCTCTCTCTCTCTCTCTCTCTCTCTCTCTCTCTCTCTCTCTCTCTCTCTCTCTCCCTCTCTCTCTGTCTCCCTCTGTCTCTCTCCCTCTATCTCTCTCTGTCTCTCTCCCTCTCTCCTAGAAAGGACCGAGATTAACTTCTTCTTACCTTCCTGATGGAGACGCACGAGAGGAAAGGCTATAGAGACAGAGAACCCTTCCATCTTTCTACGTACACGCTACGGGGGCGAGTGTGTACACAGACGAGTGTGTACACACAAAACCGCAGCGGATCCGCTCGCCCGGAAACTCGCCTGTGTCTTCAGTTACCCAGTTCATTCGAGCCCGCGAGCAAGAAATGTTTCACAAAGCTTTACGTCGCACATGTTAAATACATTTGCGCAGTATCGCCAAGTTAACAATGCTCTTCTATCGCGAAATCATCTTCCGATTGTAGTTGTACTGCAGAAACGGGACAGAAATACATTTTAGAGACCGTGCGACATCGACGTAAATTGACATTGAATTCGCGTCAGACGATAAATGTTGAAACGTCGATGGTCGCGGTGGGAAACCGCGACCAATAAATAGTTCGCTAACTAATCGGGAGAGTCGTCTTAATTGTGTTTGCGATTACGACGGAATTACTGACGATCGACGATCGACGAAATTTTCGCGAAACGACTTCATCGCATTTCCCCTCTCCTTTCTTGTTCCAGAAGGCGAGCGAGCGAGAGCGCCGCAACAATGGAAACAAACAGTGTTACTCGCCGCCCGACGCGAAACGGTCGCCCGATAACAACAATCAGTACGACCTTCCCGAGTCTTCCCGACCTTCGCGCAGGATTGACTCACCTGTGAACGTCGCGGACTCGCTCGAGTGTTACATTATTACGCGTCGAGCCGGCGAACGACACACATACCGCGCGCGTTCGTGATCGTTCGGTGTGTTGCTCGCCATTGCCGTCGGAGTGATTCCAATATCGCGTCGGACGGGTTCTTCGTCTCGGCATCGCGTTACTTAATCCTTTATATCCTGAATTAATTTACCCAAGACCTCAGTGAATTTTTGTGCAATTAAGTAGCTTTTGGAATATTGTAAACGTAAGGAAACTTAGGGAAATAAGTTTTATAACAATTTACCGGTTAAATTTGAAGGTGGTACTTGCAAGTGTCGGCAGGAATGTAGATTTATACAGAGCGGTACTTTTATTATAAGTACCGTCAGGATATAAAGTTTGTAAACACGTTTTCATCGAATCGTATTCATCTACTCGAGTGTGTCAGTGTCAGTGGTAGTGTAATGTTAGTGTCAGTGCCACAATGGAGTATCCGGAGCAGCTGGAAGCAACATGCTGGACTGGGAAGCCAGGACGCAGGACATTGGGAGCGATGTTATCATGCCAGGTGTGTCGAATCATTTAATGTACAGGCGATGTCCGATTCTAGCGGATATTTGACGAATTCGAATCGGAATAAGGAGTTCGCCGAGTCGAAATTTAGACCGATATTCATAGGTCGTCGTCGTCGTTTACCAGATAATTGTAGCTCTCGGGTGAGTCTCGGGTCGTACTTCAGTCCGTATTTGTTCTTAAATATTTTATATAAGAGTTCTCGACGAGTGTGTCGAATCATTTATTATGCAGGCACTTGACGAATCTACGTCGAGATTATAAGGAGATACTCGAGTCGAAATTTAGATCGACATTCATAATTTCGTCGTTGTTTTGTCAAATAATTCACTCAGCTTCGTGAGTCTTCGGTTATTCGTCAATCTGCATCTGTTTTTATTTCGTGCAAGAAATATTGATCCAAACAGCCGGGTAACGGT